CACCTGAATAGACACAAGCACTAGCTAATTTAGGGAAAATGCCTAACATGCTTTTATGTGCTAAATGATTCATGATATGCATTTTATGATCGGATCTATGGTCTGTTGCCGACCGGATCTAGAAACTTTATGTGTTCAGATTTCTAAACGTTTAATTACGGTATTAGAACTGTCATATCACTTTTCGGAGAAATAGGGAGAATTACACGTCGATCGTAAATAAAATCTTTCCTATCTTAATTCTCGTCATTGCATACCGAACGTCTGATTTGGTATATAGATCGAAATGGCAAGAACCCGTAGTGGAGCCGGGAATGCAAATGGGAACAGGAATCAACCACCAGTGATTGAACAAATACCTGTTGTAGCAGATGCTCCTGAGCCAATTACAATGGCCGGAGTACAAGCCATGATACGGGCTATGTTGGCTGAACAACGGGAAGAGATGAGGCAAATGTTGCATGAAAATAGGGACGAACCTGCAATGCCAGTTGAACAGCCCAAATTGAACGATGGGCAGTCAGAAGGAGGGAACTACAGTGGGACCGTTGGTCAAGCCAACCCACCAATAGTTCGACAAAACAACCAATATGACGGAGTCGAGAGGAATGGATGCAAGTACAAGGATTTTCTGACTTGCAAGCCATCGACTTTCACTGGAAAGGAAGATCCGATCAGAGTCATGGATTGGATCTCGGAGATGGAGTTAGCTTTCATGACTTGTGGTTGCAGAGGCAAGTTACAGACCACCTTTACAGTACGTCAATTCCGAGGAGGTGCTATGCGCTGGTGGAATACCCTGGGGAAGACTCTGAGCCCCAATGAGCCCCTGCAACTGACATAGGCAGAGTTTTTGGTGCAGTTCAAACGCAAGTACTGCTCAGCCCAAAACCTGCTCGAGCTAGAGAACCAGTTCCTGACCTTGAAGAAAGGAAGCATGTCAATTGATGAATACACCAACAACTTCACAGAGAAGATGGAGTTCGCCTTGCGTCTTGTTCCGGATGAGCTGACGAAAATCGACAAGTATGCAAAGGGACTTCCATGGGAGTACGTGGTGCCAGTGCGTCAGGCACCTACTCTGGAGGCAGCTATCTGGGCTGCCAAGTCTATGGAGGATATGATTAAGGGAAGAGCTGCCAACAAGATTGAGGTTGGCGAAAAGAGGAAGTTTGAGGGGTCTACGAGGCCCAATAAGAAGATCAAGTCTGGTTCAAAGGAGTTTATCGGAGGAGGAAACAAAGTGAAATGGTGCGAGAAGTGCAAGAAGAAGCACTTTGGGAAATGTAGCGAGGAAGTGACTTGCTACAAGTGTGGGAAGACCGGACATTACGCCATCGAGTGCACCGCAGCAAAAGGGTGTGTTATGAATGTCGTGAAGAAGGGCATGTTGCTAAGGATTGCCCGAAGAAGAAAGAGGCGGCAAGACCAAACATTTCACCGAAACCGAAGGCAAGAGCGTTCCATATGATCCTTGACGAAGAAGATGGAAATGAAAGGGATCAGGAAGGAGGATCTATGAAGTAGTCGTGTAAGTAGTACCACGTGGTGTAGCCTATTAGAGGCATAGTATAGGTTGGACTTGAACACCTATGTAATCGTTTCAAGGAATAATATAAAACCTTCGTTTTGTTATCTAATGTGTCAAGTTGTTATGTGATTTTCTTGTATGGTGACTTGGGTGAACTGCGAGACAATACTTGGGACGAGTATGAGTAGGTGTGAAAGGTAGTAGAGGCCTATACTACCGGAAGCACAGGACTCACGCTTGGATCAGGGAAAGTCACAAGGTTACCAAGAAGCTAGTAATTGATACCGTTTTATTCAAATATGTCGTTACCATCGTTTCGGTGATGACTAAGAGGATGATTGTTATTCCAACCCTAATGGTCATATCGAATTGAGTCCGACTACGATAAGTATGTTACGTGGTTTAGAGAACCAAGTTTGATGTAGCATCTGACTTAAGTCGGAAGATTGAAATAAAAGATAATCAAAGCGATCGGTAGAGGTATCGCGATAGTTTGCTTGTAGCTAGAAATGCTACCTTTTAATATGTGATTAGAACATGAAGAAATGTATAGTGTGTTCTGGAAGACTCTAAGAGACCTGAGTCTAAGCGTGGGAACATACGATGATAAGTCATTAGAATATGACACATCAGTCCATTTTAGTAATAAAATAACTTATCTTAAGTTTGTTAAGAAGAAGAAGCAGTCTCCAGTAAGGATCGAGATTGTAACTTGAAGGTCATAATTTGGAGTCTAACGTGAGATAGGGAGCAAGTGCAAGATCGAGCACCTCCTGCAATCAGGAAGTCTTAGAGTTAGATATTCGTTCGAAGAAACATCAAAGTTACGGTTATTACTTAGGATGAAGAGATAACGTATGGAGTCATCATGTGAGCCATGTTTCGTTGATGATTCCGGGACGTAATCATATTAAGGGGGAGATAATTGTAACGTCCGTAGATCCGGGCTAGTCAATTTAGAGATAATAGGGGTCGAAAACGACTTTTTGACAAAAGATTATTTAGAATAAATAATCCTAACCAAGTTGTAGAATATGTCTCAAGGGTTCCGTACATATAAATAACGTTGAAATCCGAGTTATAACGAAGAAGTTATGGTCCGTCGAAGTTTTACGGCAAAACCGGCACGACACCGGGAGACGTAAATAGTGAATTTACGATAGATGAATTTTTGGCCTTAGTAATCTAAACCAAAGTTTTAGTATACGTTAAACCGAGAGCGTGCATAAAAAGAACACCCAAATCTGACTTCGTATGAGGAAATTATGAATTTTCTAAGATTTGGCTTAGCAGTGCACAGCCCGAAACTCGAATTTTAGATCGAGCGGTTTTTGGCCTACGCGACCTAAATGAGAATTGAATATCTCATTAATAGGAACTCAACGGTAAAAAGACAGACGAAAATAGAGTCCGTATGTAGAAATTATGAATTTTACGCGGACATTTAACAGTATAATCTCCTCGTACTGTTAAATTTAAGATCGGTCGAGAATTAGCCGACGGAGTCAAAATGAAAGTTGTAGATCTTATTTTTACCTACGCGTGGATATAAAGTACGTCAAAAACGGATGTCGTATGTCAAAGTTACGGATTTTAGAAGTCGGAAGTGTGCTGTGCGAAAATGGGTGATGTGGCACAATCTTGGCAATTGCTTTCTCCCCAAGTCTTGCCACTAGATGGTGACATGTGGCACCAAGTTCAGCCATTTTTCACCCTATAAATAGAACCTCTCCCACCCTCATTTTCTTCACACTTTTCCCATTCTTTCTTCTCTTTACTCTCTCTCTAGAACCTCTCTCTAGCCCCGAAACCCCCCGAAAAGCCTAGGGAACCTCCCTAGCACGAGGCGGATGCCCCGGAGTGCTCGATGGCTCCGAGAAGAAGAGCTTTTCGGCTCGGGAACGTTGCTCCAGGCAAAGCCCGGTTTTCTATAAAACCCGCTGTAAGTGAGCGACGTCTACACTATTTTTAATATAGCTTTTATTTAATTATAGTAACGTTATTAGGAACTTATAATAAGTACTTGGGCTATTATTATGGGTTATATAAGTATTGTTTAACGTTTATATAATAGTAATAATAGCTAGACTATTAATTAGTCTCGGCGAATAATAGACTAAACTCTAGTGGTAATAATACTAGGTTTCGTCGAAGGAAATTATTTTTAAGAAGCGAAGCGCTGTCTCAGTTCGGAATCACCACCTTTTCAAGTGAGTGCATGGTCCCTTTCATCTTACACATAGATATGAAGTATTTAATATAAATTACGTGTTATGTGTGCATATTGTTTGAATACTTGTTGTCTATGCTGGATGAACGATTTTATACATGTTTTAAATGATTTAAACTGTATATGTATTTTATATCTACAAAATGTGTTGGGTAAAACATGGGTAGTTGTTGTGTGACAAAATAAAATAATGAGAGGCATCGATATAGATGTTATTGATGATCCAGTCATCTAGCGGAGTATAGATGACGACCACGGACTATTCTAGACAGTCCAGTGGAACGCTAGCAGGCTCGCAACCTGTAGGTGTTTATTTGAACTGTGTGCTCACCAGCAGTACTCCATCCCCCACATGGTTGCCTTATTTGACATGAATTGCTGAGGAACCCCCGAAGCATGTGTTGTCACCCCGATGAAAGTCCTTAGACTAGGTCCCTTGTGTTAGATGTTTTAGGGACGTAAAGTGAGGATAACGGGAACGGGTAATCGGGTTTGTTTGGTTTGATAAAGTTAATAAACTTATTTATTGTGGGTTGAAAACCCTATGTACTCACCAGGTTTCCCAACCTGACCCACTCAGTTTATTTATATCACAGGTGTTGATATGAAGTCACATTACACTGAGAGATTAAGGAGATATAAATCACTAGTGATAATGAATGTAAGTTCTATTTATGCTTATGTTTTTGTATTGACGATGACATCCCAAATGTTTTAAAATAAATAAAAATATTTTTCTTCGGAAATGCTTTGATAACGTATTTATCATGTTTTACTAGGAACAAATTACGCAACATTTTTAATAAAAGAGGTACTCTGATTTTTATAAAGCATAAACAAAATCGGTCTTTTCTGGCCGTGAAAATGGGGATGTCACAGAATCACACGAAAGAATTACACCTAATGCATATATCACTTTATCCAAGCAAACAACATTACACAATCAGTCACTTTACCCATACAACAAAAAAAAAAAACCTTTGTTATCATTTCAAGCAACAAAAAAGAACAAAAAAAGAGAGAAAATTTCAGGACAATATATTACAAGAAATCATTATGTAAAACAAAGTCTCAAAACGCAAGCAAATGAACATGAATAAAACATTAAAAAAAAAAGCTTAAATTTGCCTAGAAATTGAACTTATATTGGTTTTCCATTAGTGTTTAAGTGGTGTGTTCTCAATGAAGCATATATATGTTATAAAGGTACACAGATGAGATGAGATAGCGGATGTTTTTTTAGTCGGTTGTCCAGCTTTGTTCAACAATTTCACGCACTTTTCTGTTGTACTTGCGCTTATTCTCACTAAGCAACCGTGCTGCTTCAGAGTTGGCTGGGGAGTTTGGATTTGGATCGCACAGTAATGACTAAAATTCCCAAATGTGAGTTAGAAAAAATTACCATAAGTTTCAATGCAATCATGTTGTTTTTCAAAATTTGTTAATATTTTGTTACTTTATTTGGTTACATTCCCTTTTAATGAATACATGGGGTGTGTTTGGTTCATGGATTTCAAAGGAATTGGAATATGTAAATTCTAGTCAAAATTGTGTTTGGTTGACAAACTCAAAGGAATTGGAATTTTCTAAATCTCATTAGATTTTGTGATTGAAGAAATTGGTCATTCTTTAGGAAAGGGTAAAGATTTTGGATTTTGGATTTCATTCCTTATGTTTTATTAAAAAAGACAAAAATACCCTCCTACCTCCTCTTTATTACATGCAAATTCGATAAAACATAGGTTTGAGTGGTTAGAGTTTGATAAATGAAATTTTATCTAAATGAAAGTTTTATCATTTTTATTATGGTTTTTGACATAAAAGCCCCCCATTTTACACAGAGAAAAATCGGTTATGCCCAAAGTCGGTTTTTTTGTGTTAAATTGGGGGATTTTATGTCAAAAACCCTTTTTATTAAAAATAATAATAATATTTTCTGCTGTTAAAAAAGTTACAGAGTCAATAAAAGGGTAATTAGGTCCTATTATATAATTTACTTTCCAATTCCTTTGAGAAATCCGCAAACTAAAAAAATACAGATTTCATTCCATGTCAACCAAACGCTTGACAGATTCCAATTCCTTTGACAAATTCCATTCCTTCCAAAAATACTTTGCAAACCAAACGCCCCCTTAGGGGTCGTTGGTTTGTAAAATGTTTTTGAAAAGATTTGAATTTATTGAAAGAATTGGAATCTGAGGGGCGTTTGGTTGACAGAATGTTTTTGAAATGGAATCGGATTCAATAATAAAGATTTAAAATATCAACGTGTTACTAAAAAAATTTATTTTTATTTATTTCAATATATAATAAGGATATCTTGGTCTTTTGATAAAAAAATAATGAATAAAATTGAACTTCATCCATCCACCCTAGGAAACATGGAATATGAAGAAATCTGAAGGAATTAAATTCCATTAATTTGTTTTTACATATTTCAATATATAAAATGAGGATATTTTGGGCCATAAATAAAAATATGGATAATGAAATTGAATTCCTTCCACCCTCCCCTAGGAATGTGGTGAAACCCATTAAACATGGAATTTGAACAACTTCGACAAAATTCCAATTCCGTCCTTTTTGCAACCAAACACGCCTTTTAGTGAAAATAAAATTTGAAAATGCCTACGAAGTTTTGTAAGAAAACATCTGTAATTCTCTATTGCTGATTTGATATTCCAAATTTCTTCTTTCTTATTGATCAATTTTAAATTACGTCAAGAAAACCAACTAAGGCTCCTAAATCTTAAAAACCCATGTGAACAAGCATACAAAGATGTTAAATTTCAAAGAGAAGGACCCCACATAATATCAAAGCTAGCATACCTGAATTGATGTAAGAATGGCAGGAACATCATAGATTGGACTCCATTGATTTTGAAGAATGTCCAAACATATGCTCCCATCTGCATAAACTACCCAATCATCTTGATCAAAAGGATCATCTATTGATACAATCGGGTAGCCACCCACAAATGACTTGTACACGTTCTTCAAACTGTCCCCTGATATCTTCTCTGATCCATCCTTGTTCTACAACAATACAAAATTACAAACCCCTTTATTTTTATCTAATTTCATAATAACACTTAATCCAATAATTAACTCTTACCTCTTCCTTAATGTTCAAATCATAGGTTTTGCTCTTGTCATCATGGAACACAGAAGCAGCAACATCCATTCCAATAACAACATGTAATTTGGAATTAATCTCTTTTTTTTCAGAAACAATCAAACAATACAACAGTCAACATATTTTTTATTTTAAAATATGAAAGTTTACTTTTCTAGTATATCCAGCTTTTGCTATTGCAGTCTTCAAGAGCTCGAGACCTTCTTTGTTCTCCTGTATAACAAATAATGACAACACATAAGTTTATTTATATAGATATAAATTTAATTTATTAAAGTAAAATTCCTGACCTGGATGTTGGGAGCAAAGCCACCTTCATCACCAACATTTGTGGCATCCTGACCATATTTCTTTTTGATAACAGACTTTAAGTTATGTTATACTTCCAGTTTGTGGCATCCTGCATTGCAAGCTTGTTGCCTGCATGTGAACCTCCATTTATCACATTGAATGTTGGTACATGCAGCACCAAGGTCTTGTTTCCAGCAAGGTTTGCAATGTATTGTGTGTGTTATTTATTAAGAACAAAAATAAGTCAAAAAACTTGTACAACTTCATATCAAAGAGACAGAGAGATCAGGCTGAATAACAGAGAGAATGAAACGGAATTATAACTACAAAGTTACAATTAGCATCAATCTTTATGAACAGAAACAGAAAAATTCATCGAGGGTGATGAATAACAGAAAGAATGCAAAGGAATCCATCCTTAATATGCATAATCGAAAGAAGCACGTTGTGAATTACAAAGAAATCAAACCTCCGAAATCTCGTGACCAACATTCCGAACGTGAATGACTTTAGAAGGCTCTGTCATTTTAAATTATCCTGAAAAAAGAAATTGAACTGATTCATGAAAAAGGTTCCACATACAATATATGAAGCAATCAATTCTAAAATACAAAAGAAAAAACGGTTGATGATTGCTAATCAAGCAAAGCAAAAGAATTTGGAAGTAAAACCCTAAATTTCCATCGGGAATTGTAACAAGATAACGTGAAAAAATCAAACTGCATCTTCTTGGAAGGGGAAAACCAGAGATGTAAAGGAGTGAGAATCGTAAATCTGAATAAAGGGGAATCGCACCTGAAGATGATGAATCTGAAAAACAAAACGACGATGTGTATCTATGATCGAAAATCAAAAACAAAGATCAGAAAGGATGATCACTTACCTTCTTGTAGGTCGTATTGACAACATACTGAAGGTGATGGTAACAAACGGTTGTCAGAGACTTAAGAGATAAAGGTGAGACGGAGGAGATATGCTTTGAGAGCCTTTGACGATGGCTGATTGTGTGCATAGAAAAGTGAGGAATGAAATTGGGTATGAAACGTAAGAGGTAAGTTGCAATTTGAGGCGCTTGTATATTCGACGATGACGTCATCAAAAACGATCCAATGGTAGAGAAATAGGAGTGAAATAAAATCAAGGGTCTTTATTTCTTCAATTTAGATTTTAAGGTTCTCTTTTAATAATATTTAGAGATTTGTTTAGTATGGCCATCTTATGGATTAATTCAGCAAAAAAAAGGATGTAATTTTTTGTTCTTTTCTTTTATGATGAAATATTATTATTTATGGGTTGTCAATAAATTCATTTATAACATTATTTATTTTTTTGGCAAATTTATTGACACAATATATCGTCAAAATGATCCCTTTTGTGAAGATTAATTTTCTAAGAATATAAAATATTATGGTTTATGTATTTATTAATATGGATATCAATCGACCCAAATGTAGGCTGATATTTGGTCAAATAAACACATATATGATAATAAACATGCAATAATTTTAGGTTACATATCATTAATAAGTTAATCCAAAGATGTGTTTGTTAATTAACATGATTTATTGTCAATGTTTGTTATTAAATTTTATGGTTTATGTGTTTGTTAATGCGGGTATTAATTGACCCAAAGATAGGTTAATATTCGGTCGGATAAACACATATGTGGTGGTAAAAATATGATAATTTTTGGGTTCCATGTGATTAATGAGTGAATCTAAAAAGAGGCTTATTGATTAACATGTTTTATTGTCTATATTTTTTACCACTTAAACAAGATATCTCTTACAAGTTAATATTATTGTCCAAAGACTTAATATTAATGTTGTGTCGATACCTTGTAATATTGTCATAATTTGAAATTTATTGATTATACTTATGGTTTAATGAGCATAAAACTAATATGATTAATATTTTGTTCTGAAATATAGCAAATGCTAATTATGGCATAATATCTTTCAACTTGAATCACACTCCAGTTATCAATGGGACTAACTTTAAGGAATGGAAAGAGAACATTATGTTGGTTCTCAGCTGCATGGATCTTGACCTTGCACTTCGGATTGAGCAACCGATCCTTACTGCCACAAATTCAGTGGAGAATAGAAGGGGTGCTGAAAAGTGAGATCGCTCAAATCGCATGAGTGTAATGATCATTACGCGCGGTGTTCCAGAAGCTTTTAGAGGTGCGAATGAGTAGTCTATTAATGCTAAAGATTTTCTTGCTGAAATTGAACAACGTTTTGCAAAAAAAATGATAAGGTTGAAACAAGTACTTTTTTGCAAAAGATTATTTCAATGAGGTATAAAGGCAAAGGAAACATAAGGGGGCATATCATGGATATGTCTTATCTTTCTTCAAAACTTAAGGCATTGAAACTGGGAATTTCTGATGATTTTCTAGTACATTTGGTGTTGCTTTCTCTTCCTGCACAATTTAACCAGTTCAAGGTCAGTTACAACTGCCAAATAGATAAATGGACTCTTAATGAGATCATTTCCTTTTGTGTGCATCCTTTTGTGTGCAAGAAGAGGAAAAGATGGAGCAGGAAACGACTGAAAGTGCTCATTTTGCTAGTACCTCTAAAAATAAGGGCAAAAGAAAGAGAAAATAAGCTGCTACTAAGGGACCAGTGCAAAAGAAACAACATTTAGGTAATGATCAAAAGAAAAAGGAATTAGGACCTCCTAAATGCTTCTTTTGTCAAGAACATGGTCCTTTGAAGTCGGATTGTCCAAAATACCAGGCTTGGCGATTTAAGAAAGGTATAAATCGTGTTTTGTTTTGTTCTGAGATTAATTTAGTTTCTGTACCTAGAAATACTTGGTGGATAGATTCTGGTGCTACTACTCACGTAAGTGTTTCTATGCAGGGTTAACTGAGCTACCGAAAACCAAATGATGTTGAAAGATACATCTATCTGGGTGATGGAAAGCAGGTTGAAGTCAAAACAGTTGGCACATTTCGTTTATTATTAGATACTGGTTTTTATTTGAATTTTCAAGACACTTGTATTGTACCTTCTTTTAGACGAAATTTGGTTTCTGTTTCTAAATTGGATAAATCTGGTTATTATTGTTCTTTTGGAAATGGTGAATTTGGTTTGAATTTAAATTCAAATGTTATCGGTACTGGTTCTTTAACGTATTGTGATAAGTTATATATGCTTGATATTGTTACTTCATATAATGAAACCTTGCACTTAGATTCACGTGGTACTAAGCGAAAATTAAATAATGAAAATTCAGCAACACTATGGCACAAATGCTTATGCCATATCTCAAAAATGAGAATGGGCAGGCTTGTGTCAGATGGAGTGTTAAGTAACCTTAACTTCACAGATTTGAAAATTTGTGTTGAATGCATCAAGGGAAAACAGACAAAAACCAAAAGGTTAGATGCCAATAGGTATTCAGATGTCTTAGAATTGATACATACATATATTTGTGGACCATTCCCTACGGCTTCTTGGAATGGACAATAATATTTTATATCATTCATAAAGGATTACTCACGTTATGGGTATCTATATCTTATACATGAAAAAGCTCAATCACTAGACATGTTCAAATATTTCAAACTTGAAGTTGAGAATCAACTTAATAAAAATATTAAACGAAGTTGAGTACTATGGTAGATATAACGGGGCGGGTGAGCAACGTCTAGGACCTTTTGCTAAATTCCTAGAGGAATGTGGAATCGTCTCACAATACACAATGCCATGTTCACCTAGCATGAATGGTGTATCTGAAAGTCGCAACATGTCACAACTAGAATTTTAGCTAGGAAATACTATTCTCATATAAACATTCAACTATTGTAAGACATGTACTCCAAGTGACAATCATACTCTATGCTCAATCAAAACCATCCATTTGAATCCAAACTCTTGATTTAAGTTCAAAACCTAATACAAAACATCTCATATGGATTGAAAACCCTAGAAATCCCAGCCCAAGTTAATATGGACTAGGATCCTCTTATTGGGCCTAATGGACCAATAAGCTTTCAATTTGACCATTTTGGGCCTAGAAACCCTAATTAGACTCTAATTGGACCCACGTTCATCAGATTTTAGCATTTTGGGCCATGCGAGCTTAGAATAATGCATCTTATCTCTAATGGGCCTTGTGGGCCATAAATGATTTCATTTGCCCTAATGGGTCGTAAACCCTCTTAATTGGGTGTCATTGGGCCATGAACCCTTATAAGGGCCTAATGGGTCGAAAAATATTATTTGGGCCCCATAGATTCGAAGTAAACTAAGGAAGGGCCCAAACCACTTCATCTCCATTTTTCCTTTAGCCCATTCTCGGCCCAACTAACAAAAACAAAAAAAGGGGAAAAGGAGATAAATCCAGCAAGTGACACATAACCTTTGCATGATGGATTTCCATGCAACATCACCTCACCATCTCTCTCTCTCTCTTTTCTTATTATTGGCCGAGACCCCCCCCCCCCCCCTCTCTCCACATCTCACTTCAAAATTATTCAAACTCCCTCTCAAATCCTCTCAAGCTCAATGAGAACCTCTCTCATTTCCTTTGCCATTTAAGTGATCATGGGTGAGATTCCAAGAGCTTTTCAACAAGTATCATCTACTTGGTAAGTTGTCATCATACATAAGTCATTAATTTCCATTTTTAAGCCAAGAACACCCCCTTACATGGTTTATTTCGTGTTCTAGCTTCCCAGGACCATCTAAGTCCAAAAATCATTCTCAAGAAGCTTCCTAGGGCCGAGATCTTCTCACATCTTCACCAAAAACCGAATCCAAACCTCAAAGTGAGTTCATACCCCTTGATTTTTCGATTTTTGCTATGTTTTGGAGGAGGATACAAGTTGCTATGTGCTAGATCTATGTATTTGTGCATGTTAATGTGTGTTTTGTAAGTTATATGTTGTGTTTATGGGAAAAACTTCATAGATCTTGTCAATATTTGGAAACTACAACACTTTATACAACTTACCATAAGATAAAAGTGTTAAACAAGTTAAGAATGTTGAAAAACTAAATAAAATCTTGTAAAGGGACCATTTTTGAAAAGAAAACAAAAATATGAAGCCTTTTATGATATTCACGGTTTTTCAAGGACCAAAAGAGTCATTTTTGTATAAAAATGGGTTTTTATGATAATCATAGTTTTAAAAGGGCTAAAAGTGTTAAATTTCGTATTATGGGCCTTAATGTGGGCCTTCACGGTTTTGTTGGGCCAAATTTGTAAATTTAAGATTTTTATGGATTAAATTGTCATTTAACACAAACTTGAGCCAAAAATGTAAATTTACGATTTTATGGGCTGAAAATGGCACTTTATTTTAAATTGGGCTGAAAATGTTATTTTTACAAAACTTGGGCCGAAAATGTCATTTTATCTAAAAAGGGGCTGAATATGTAAATTATATATATAAATAGGCCGAAAATGTAAATTTAATTTAATGGGCCGAAAACATCAATTTATATTTACTTGGGCCAAAAATGTCAACTTACATACAATTGGACTAAAGATGTAAATCTTCATGTTTATTGGGCCTAACATGTATAATCCATGTTAATGGGCTCTAGTGGCCCATTTACATGTTTACCGGGCCTGGATTATACATTACATGTTTATTGGGCCTCAGTGGCCCATTTACATGCTTATTGGGTCTGGACTATACATTACATGTTTATTGGGCCTTAGTGGCCCATATACATGCTTATTGGGCCTAGACTATACATCACATGCTTATTGGGCCTTAGTGGTCCTTCTACATGTCTGTTGGGCCTCGTACATTCATATACATACTCACTGGGCTTTTCAAACATAAAACATACAAGTAAACGTTATATAACATAATACAATATTCGCGTAAACTCAGTTAAGGATGCTAGTGAGACATGTCGGCTGACACCTCTAGAGTGTACAATCGTACCCTGTAGTTATAACCAGAGTCTCCTCGAGGGAGAGCGAGAGTTTGTGTATAGATCTATACGGGGTGACACCCCACACCTGAGCTGTTCGCTACAG